AAAAAAAAGAAAATTTGAGCCAAAAGCATGGCTGAAGTTGATTGAAAAATAACAAACAGAAAAAAATATGCTTGCAGCAAAACATCATTAAATGGAATAGGTAAGGATAATAAAATAAAAAATAGGCATTTTAATACATAATAACTAAAAGTAGTTGGTATTTGATGTAAAGAACCTCTTATTGTCAAATAATAAAGTCTGCTATAAGAGACATGTGATCAGAGGGAAAAGAGCTTGAAGGTAAAGCCTGATGGCCGATTGTCTCGCTAGATGGAATAGAAAATACGCCTTTCAACTTAGCACGAGGTGAAAGATACCAAATGTAGTCAATTGTGTGCTTTGCCTCATTATAGTCACCAGATCTTGGGCCTTTACGAATTTTCCACGTGGTAAATTCAGGTTCTTTACCTCCATTCGTACGTTTGTATGCACTAACAAGTTTCTGCCCAGTTCCATAGCAATGCGGAGACCAAGAACTTACTATATTTATGACTTCTTCATATGTTTCAGCATTGAAATCCCCAACAATAAAAACAGGATCGACTTCATTTTTTCGCTCAATGTGAGATTTATTGAAGGAGTGTAAATATTTTTCAAAGAAATCTAACAATCTTCGGCCTTGATTGATCCGCAAGTTGGCGAAATGAGTCTTGGATTTAAGATGAACGCAGGCGATATGAAAAATAACAGGAGAATCTGAACCAATCGTTTGGAATGTTGCAATTAAAGATTCGCGATGGCCAGAATCATCCAAAGGAGCCACAGCTTGGTGAATAAGTTTATACTTGTTTATTCTGAATTAGAGTAAGTAAACAATGTAGATCAAAATATAATTTGACATAAGTAAATTGACAGCTATGATAAAATACCTATTCATGATAAATAAAATGCATCAGAAAATTTTCTGGTTTTAGAAAAATATCTTTAATTGGTTAAGTATATAAAGGAAATCTAACGCTTAAATTAATTGTATCATATATGAACAATTGGCTTGTGAAGCTGTATAGAAAGATCGCGATTAAATACGTAGAGATGAATTTAACATTCTCAATTATAAAACCTGCAGGAGGAATCAAGGAGCAAGCAAGAGTTAATAAAGACAAGTACACGTTTGCGTTTAAAAAAGTAACAGCGCAAATCATTTGACTGTGTCACATGGAAGAATAGGCCTAAACTTATTAGCTGTATACTGACGTACTAAAACCTACTAAGAGCAAGCAATAAGGCAAATAAACAAGTTGGACTAAAATATTAGAACGAATTAG